TCTTCTGCAGAGCGAGGTGCCAGGGACTTTGCTTGTCCTGTGTGGAGGGGAGGAGGCACCAGAGGCGTCTTCCTAGGTCGGAATGGGACTAGGAAGGGTGAGGTAGAGTGCTGTCCTTAACCACTTAGGCACAGTGTAGGGTGAGTTCCATCTCCCTGGACCTCCATTGATAGGAAGAAATTTCCACATATGAATGAATCCATCTATTAAGTCTCTGGCTGGCAAGTGCCAGAGCTAGGATTACACACAGGAGCTTCCTCTCTGTAGTTTCCCAGGAGCCCTGTTTGTTCCTTTTTGTTCCCAGGAGCTCTCTCTTTGTTCTTCTTTGTGCCCTTGACGTATAAGGTCTTGCCTGAGCGTGGCCTTCCTAGCCACCTGGTTACTAAGCCGTGGGCAGAGGGCCCTCTTCCATTCCCACTCCCAGAGGGACCTCAGCCCCCACCCCAGCCTGAGAAGCTTGCGCCCCCCCCGCAGATTGGTCCTTCCCGATTCCGGGCACCTGAGCTGCTGTTCAGGCCGGACCTGATCGGCGAGGAGAGCGAGGGCATCCATGAGGTGCTGGTGTTTGCCATCCAGAAGTCTGACATGGACCTGCGGCGCACGCTTTTCTCTAACATCGTCCTTTCGGGAGGCTCCACCCTGTTCAAAGGTTGGTCTTTGCTCTCAACGCCCTTCCCCAGGAAGCTTCCACATACTGCTGGGCCCAGACGCCCAGAGAATTGACGTGAGATTCTCCTTTCCTGCCCATTCAGGTTTTGGTGACAGGCTATTGAGTGAAGTGAAGAAATTGGCTCCGAAAGATGTGAAGATCAGGGTAGGAGCATGCTGGGGGCGGGGCCAGGGGCTGGGTGGAACTGAGCCTCCCAGGATCTGGAGGGCCGTGTGGCGTGGCCTCCCCTCCTGCTCTGCCCAAGTTTTTCGGGCACCGCCAGATGGCTCCCAGCTTCTACTCTGCCCCTGAAGCCCACCAGAGCAGAGGACCCATCTTCACTCTCCCTCTTCACAAAAGGGGGCAGTTCTGATACCCAGATGTGGCAGGGTGCTAGGCTGAGGGCCCCACACATGGTCTTTCAGGGAAACGGTAACACTGACAGGAGACTGACTTTGGCTGCTCCCCTGTGACACAGTCTAACGTCTTAGTGACTGCTGAGGAGAGCTGGCCTGAAGAAGGAGGGATCCTGAGTGGAGGAGTGTGGTTCCTGCCGTACAATCTGCTTCCCACCAGCCCCCGACGGAGCCAAATCTTGCCCCCAGATAGCCCCAGCTTCCCTGGGAGCCATAGATACTTAGGGATGCCGGGAACCTGTTTCTTCAGATGAGCAGGCTGGCCACAGTACCCCCCAGAGAGGCCACAGGGTCCAGCAGGGACATAACTTAAAGCCTGTTTTATGAAATATATCCACTGAAATATATCCACGTATCCACCGGCTCTCACTGGCGGTGAGAATTGGCCATAAAGGTGAGTAGTGGCAGGGAAAGGGAGAGGGGAGGATGGACGTCTCAGATTCCTCTTTCCACCCACCCCTGCAGATATCTGCACCGCAAGAGAGACTGTATTCCACATGGATTGGGTAAGTAGCTCTTCTGGGCATAAGAGCAGAACAGGAAGCAAAGGCATTGATTACCCCTCACCACCCCATCCCTTTAAAGAAAAGCCTGGTCTGGTTTGGCCCCAGGGGGACTGGCTGGCTCCATGAGTACCCACTCCCCTTCTCTGACATTGTTCCTTTGGATTCCCTCCACTCCAGGGGCTCCATCCTCGCCTCCCTGGACACCTTTAAAAAGATGTGGGTCTCTAAGAAGGAATACGAGGAAGACGGTGCCCGATCCATCCACAGGAAAACCTTCTAAGATTGGGGCATCATCTTCACCTCTCTCTGAAGTTAACTCCACTTTAAAACTCGCTTTCTTGAGTCGGAGTGTTTGCGAGGAATTGCCTGTGTGTATGAGTGTGTGTGTGGGTGTGTGGGTACGAGTGTGTGCGCATATGCGAGTGCCGTGTGGCCCGGGGATCCCAGGGATCCCGGGGCCCAGAAGGACGATGAACTACCCATGATGGTGACGGCCTGAGACCTGGGGTTGACCACTAACTGGCCCCTGACAGGGAAGAGCGCTGGCAGAGGGCCCTGCTCTGTCAGCGGGGCCTTTGGCTGGCTGTGTGGGACTATGTTTACTACCATAGGGAGACAGAGAGGGAGGTAAACCCAACCCCCGGGAGACCTTGCTGCTGCCCATCCTAGGCTGGGCCAGCCCCACCCCTACCCCACCCAGGGTGCCCTGCGGCCCAAGGCAGCTGCTGCCTCCCCTTGCTCATCATTCTGCTCTCAATGCCTCTTGATCACAGACTGAGGGCCAGGGTTGAGTTCTGTCTGGTTTTGTTGCAGTTTGGGTTTAGAAAGCTGGAAAAGCACTCCAGGAGCAGTTACTGAGACTTCGGTATCAGGAGGGGGCAGGATGCCCTCAGCTTCACCTGGAGACCAGGACCACACTGGGCATTTGAGGAGGGCAGGAGTAGTGCTACTGCTGATGGGTGGCAGAGTTAACGCTCTAACCCCCCAACCCCCATCCGGGGATCTCGGGAGAGTTTCAGGAGCCTGTTGGCCCCAGGCCCTTGCTTTCCATCCATCCATGGGCAAAGCCATCTTCAGTTTTATTTATTGAAGTGTTTGTTCAGTACAGGGACTGGAGCGAGGGAGCTCACTGCCTCCTGCCCGCCAGTCACCCTGTTCACACTAACGTTTACAGCACCTAGCTTAGCATAGCGTCCAGGGCCCCGCCACTCCCTGCTAACAGTGAACTGACAGTATCCACAGGCCTCAGGACCATTTGGGATCAGAGGCTACAAAGTCACTCCAGCCTCTTTCTTTCTCCCTCTTCCACTTGCTCACCACCCTGGAATCAACAGGCTGGTTGCTGGTTGGATTTTCTGAAACAGGAGGTAGAATCACCCTTTGGCAGAGGCTGCTAGCAAAGGAGGGGTGTTGGGGATCCAGCCTCCTTAGAACTGGAGAAAGAGCTGCAATTAAGTTGCCTTTTCCCACGCTAGCTGACCCGGGGGGGACTAGGTTGTAGAGGCGAGACGGCCCCCTCTGGGCTGATTTGTGCCATTCTTGTCTTTGCACTCGTTTGGTTAGGGAGGGGCCAGACCAGAGTGCCAGGAGCTGATGGGCTCAGGCCCACCTCCTCTGGTCCAGTGGGGCCAGGTGCCTACCCTGGACTGGGCTGGCCTGGCAGTGATCCCAAGCCTCTTCAGGCCAGATGTTGCAAAGCTGGGGCTAGCAGATATTCACCGGCACCCTCACCTGTGACACCAAGACCTGCCCTGATCCCAGATTCCAGGCAGTATTCTCCCCCATGCCGTCCAACGACCAAAGGCCCTGCCAGGTGTGGGCCGCAGCAGCAGGTGTGTGTGAAAGCGATGTGGCGACCCACAGACTGCAGTGTGCTTAACCAGCTCACCTCCCCCGCCCTTAGCCCAAGCCCGTCCCTCGCACAGCCTCGCACAAACCACGTTGCCTGGTGGGGCCCAGTGTACTTAAATAAACTTGTTCCAATAGACACATCAGCTGGGCCTCTGTCTGTAGCCAGTGCAGGGTGGGAGGAGGGAGGAGCTGTGGGCCCGGAATCTGAGGCTGTGACTGGGCCTAGTCTGTCCTCTAGAGGGCACTGTTGCACCAGCCAGACTTGGCCTGACCTTAGCCCAAGCCCCAGCCTGTCAGGTGGACGCAGAGAAGATGGTGTTCACAACGAAGCCCAAAGACCAGGTCAGGAATGAGGGTCCCAGGCCTGTGCACATGCCCAAGCCCATGGATGAGACTCCACCCCAAATGAGGGGGCCAGCTCTTCACATCTCTGAAGTCAGAAGCTTATTAAAATACTGTTCCTGTGGCCCACGTGCAGATATTCTAATTAATCAGTTCTCCATTTTAACCCTGTATACTTGGGGGGTAGTGGGGAGCGGTTTTCCAGGCACTTTACAAATGTTAATCCATTTGATTCTCCCAACAACCGTACAAAGTGTAAGTATGTTTGTTATTCCTTATATAATTTCCCAAAGCTCTGCCCTTTGTTAGCTAGAATTTGAACCCAAGCAATATAGCCCTAGGGCCTACATTCTTTTTTTTTTTTTTTTTGTGGTACATGGGCCTCTCACTGTTGTGGCCTCTCCCGTTGCGGAGCACAGGTTCCGGACGCGCAGGCTCAGCGGCCATGGCTCACGGGCCCAGCCGCTCTGTGGCATGTGGGATCTTCCCGGACCGGGGCATGAACCCGTGTCCCCTGCATCGGCAGGCGGACTCTCAACCACTGCGCCACCAGGGAAGCCCGGGCCTACATTCTTAACCGCTGTGCACACCCTCAAATAACCATTGGACTAGAGCAGTGGTTCCCAATCAAAGTCAGTTTTGCCCCTTAGGACACACTTGGCAATGCCTGGAGATGTTTGGTCGTCACAATTGGAAGGAGATGCTACTGACATCAAGTAGGCAGAGGCCAGGGATGCTGCTAAACACCCACAACAAAGAACAGCCCAGCCCCAAGTGTCTGTAGTGCTGAGGCCGAGAAACGCTGACCTCAAGCAGAGGTTCTCAGTCCCAGCTGCACGGTAAAATCACCACAGAGCTTTCCAAAACCCCAGTGCCAGGCGGTACCCAGACCCATGAAGTGAGAGTCTTGGGGAACTCAGACACCAGCATCTTTGCAAGCTCCCAAGCAACTCCAAGGTTAAGGACCTCTAGCCTAGAAGTGGCCACTCCTCCTTGCCCACCACGTCCAGCAGTGGTACATGGGAAACGCACTGGGGCTACGACCGCAGGCCTGAAAGCTGTTTTGCTCCCAAGGGCCCATGCGGCCACGGGCCTGCAGGCTCTCCCTGCTACCCCAGTGACTCTGGTGTGGGTGGCCCCCCACTCATCTCTGAAAATGCTCTCAGGCTGCTCTTATTAAGTAAGGAATCCTGTTCCCCAACCCACCACTCCCACACACAGCACAGACCTCAGGAGTGGGAATAGAAATGACAGACTTCGATCAGGCTGTGATGAAATGAACATCGCTGAGAGGCCAGCTGGGGGCGCGGGCGCCCCGCAGCAGCTAGGGCGCGCTACTCCACGCACAGCTGAGGCAGAGAGTTCTGAGAGAAGCCACCGCAAGGGGCAGGTGGGACTCAGTTTCCTCTGACTAGGCCAAAGTGGTTTCCGAGCCCACATAGGGCGCCAGCCCCAGCCAGGTAGGGGGATAGGCCTCTGTGCCCACAGCAACCCCACGTGCCCACAGGGCGGGCCCCCTCCCTTCGTGATCCTCTTCTTCCCCCTGCCGCACAGGAGGAAGCGGGTCCCTGAGCACAATGCCCCAACCCTTGCCCAAGCTGGGCCCCGACAGCCAAGCAGGAACTTAGACCTCAGTGACGCTCCCTGTGCAGCCCCAGGAGCTCCCACTCCGCCATCTGTCCTCCAGGCTGCACCCCAGGAAGGCGAAAGAGACTGGCCGCCCAGGACTGCAGGTAGCGTCCTCAGCAGGGTGGCCTTGCCTCTCCCCTCACACCATCTTAACGTCCAGGGTTTGGGCCCGTGACAGGTTCTGACGCTGGGCTTTGACCGCGTGCAGGCGTCTCCCATACAGCGTGAACTGGGACCAGGTGAACAGCTGCAGCAGAGCACAGGTGATGGGCACCAGCACGAGCAGGTAGAAGCAGCCCTGGCGGAGCGTCGGGGCCTGTGGTGGGGGTGGAGCCGGGGGCTCTGGCCAGGGCTGGGCACTCCCCACAGGCGTCAGTGCGGGCTGCTGGAAGAGATCATGACCTAGGACGAGAGAGTCCGCAGAAACAACAGGTCAGCCCTGGTCTCCTCCACAGTCCACGGTGCCGCATCTCACACGCCACGGGCACATGTCCAAATGGCAGTTCTTGATTCCTCCCCCAGTCTTGCTTCTCCCCTGTTCTTTTCTTCTTGGGGAATGGCACCGCCATCCCCCCAAAAACCTCGAAGTCTTCCTAGATTCCTCAGTTAATTTCACCACTCCCCAACAGCCAATCCTTCACTTTCCCCAACTCCAAAACACAGCCCAAAACAAACACTTCTTTTCAGCCCCCGGCCCCGCCTCCATCGCCTGTGCCACAGCCTCCCTACAGCCCATCCTCCGTGCAGCAGTCAGAGCGAACTTTAAAGCGTTTAAATCAGACGAGGCCACTCCCCTACTTAAAAGCCACCCAATAGCTGCACTGAGAATAAAATTCAAACCCTGCCCAGATCTACAGAGCCCTCTTAACTTTTCCAGCCTCATCTCCAAACCACTCTTTTTTTTTTTATAAATTTATTTCTTTCTTTATTTTTGGCTGCGTTGGGTCTTCCTTGTTGTGTGCGGCCTTTCTCTAGTTGCGGCGAGCCAGGGCTACTCTTCGCTGCGGTGCGCGGGCTTCTCACTGCAATGGCTTCTCTTTCTGCGGAGAACGGGCTCTAGGCGCGCCGGCTTTAGTAGTTGTGGCACACGGGCTCAGTAGTTGTGGCTCACGGCTCTAGAGCGCAGGCTCACTAGTTGTGGCACATGGGCTTAGTTGCTCTGTGGCATGTGGGATCTTCCCGGACCAGGGCTCGAACCCGTGTCCCCCGCATTGGCAGATGGATTCTTAACCACTGCACCACCAGGGAAGTCTGCCAAACCACTCTTGATAACTTGGGCCCACTTCCAGTTCTCTCTGTCTGGGATTTGCTGAGATCTTTGTAGACCAAATCCTCACCATTCAGTTCACATCCTGGGTGTCACCTCCTCAGAGAGACCTTCCCGGACCACACTAAGCAGCTTCTCAGTCACACTGGCTAGTTTTTACCAACGCACTTATCACTACCTGTTTGGCTGTTTATTGCCGACCCTACCCCCACCCCCTGACTAGAATATAAGCTCCATGATGGCAAAGACCTTGTCTTATTTTGTTATCTCCCTCCCTAGAGGCACCTAGAGCAGCACCTGGCAGAGAAGGCATTCCATACATATTTGTTGAATGAATGAA